GGGGATCATCTGGTAAAAGCCTGTCACGAGGAAGGTCAGCCATGAACTGTTTGCCTAGAATGCTGCGCTGGCGTTTACAAATGGTGCATTGAGACAGAATTTTTCTGATGGCTGTTGGCGCTTTTGGAATCCAGTATTTCTCTCGCAACTTTGATAACATGTGATTACGGCCACTGTGACCCACTTCTACATGAATTGATCTTAAGATCAGACGTGAAACATGGTGGTCCTTTGCCAAAATTGCAGGATGCTTGGATTCCTCAGGCATAGCTGATCTGTCTAGCCTGCCACCCACTCTTAGAATTTTGTCTTGCAAAACTGGTGACAACATGTAGAGGGCGCTACTGCGTTTCACAGTTTTACCTTGTTGGAGGGATTTGATTTCTTCAGGAAACATACTTGTTTGGCTGTAGCGAATGATCTCTTTCTCTGCGTTTTCGATGTCACTTACAGTTAATGTAATACCTGATAGCGAAGCCTTGAAGGTTTTCATTTCCCTTTCAAGTTCAGAATTTACTGATAGATCGTATCTTGGAGCGTGGCACAGCTCTTTCCTTTTTTCCATCAGTGTCTTCAGAATGCCTTTAAATTTGAGGAACCATGCAATGGCTCTTCTCAAGCGGTACCAATCTGAGTAGTGTGAGAAGAACTGAGAAGTACAGTCATAACTATCTGCACACACTGCATTGACTGAGGCTTCCTTAACCTCAAGATCATTGTCGGATATCTTAACAGTCTGACTTGGAATTTTTGGCCACTCCGATTCCGGCTTTGTCAGGAAGGGTGGACCTGTGAGCCATAAATTTGTTTTAATGAAAGCATCTACTGTAAGTCCTCTTGAGGCAATGTCGGCTGGGTTGGAAGAAGAACTCACATGCCTCCACTGTGACACCTTAGAGAGCCATCTGATGGCAGCTAACCTGTTGGCTACAAATGTACGGAACCGTGTGCTTTCATTGTTGAGATACTTCAGGACTGAAGTACTGTCTGTCCAGAACACAGACTCCTGAAGAATCAAGTCCAATTCAGATTTAAGCACGCTGTCCATTCTAGCGGCCATTGTAGCTGCAGTGAGCTCAAGACGTGGCACAGTAACCGACTTTACTGGAGAAACCCTTGCCTTACCCATAACAAAGGCACAATGTTGGTTACCTCTGTGATTCTCCATAAGTAAGTAGGACACTGTGCCATAACCCAGCTCACTGGCGTCTGCAAAATGATGCAGCTGTGCTGAAGTAATTTCACCAAAGTTAAGTGGCTTTATGCATCTCTTAACCTGAAAGTCATTTAAGTTCTGAAGACTAACTAACCACAGGTTCCACTGCTGTTTGAGGGCTTCTGGAATACTTTCATCCCATTCGTGGTTTGTTCTACAAAGCTCTTGCAATATTTGTTTTGCAGGAAGAACGACTGGAGAAAGTATTCCAAGCGGATCATAAATGGAACTAACCATGGACAAGATAACTCTCCTTGTAAGGGGCCTTTCTTGTAGGGTTACTTTGAACTGCAAAGTATCCGTCTCTACACACCACTGAACACCTAGGGCTCTTTCCAATGGCAACTTATCTTTTTCCAGATCCAAGTCCTTCACTGTCTTTGCCTTGCTCTCCTCACTTATGGACGCAAGTACAGTGCGACTATTTGACATCCACTTTGTCAAATTAAATCCCCCTGATGCGCACACCTCCCTTAATTCATGCATCAGAGCGATACCCTGCTGTTCGGTAGCTACAGAAGTCAAACAATCATCCACATAGAAACTCCTAAGGACTGTCTGAATTACTTCTGCTCGGTACCCAGCACTGTTGTCCTTTGCACAGCTTTGTAGAGCGTAGATTGCACAACTTG